CATTTCTTCGCGCCATCCTCCACCCCCCCCCCCTTCCCAACTACGGTAACCTTTGGGGATAACCCTCAGCATCACCATCTATTATACCGGTAGCACCTGAACCCTCCGCTCCGTCACACTGTACCTGACATAAGCCCCTCCTTATCGCCCGGTCGTCTTTTCCTCACCTCCAAGATCAAGTCTAATTTCAATACACCCACACACACCTACCGTATCCATCCGTGCAAACAAATGAAGCAAAAAGCCACTAACATTTACCCCACTAAAAAAAACATAGCTCGCGATACCTCTCCTCCCTCGTCCGCCGTCTACGCATCGACATCGCCCCACTAAAGCGCGACCCCCCCCAAGATGAAATACAAGAATTCAACTGGCGCCACCCACTTCTCCAGGATGAGCCCCCACTGTTAACAGCACGCACGGCACTGCTAGGCTTGATCCCGAATCTGAACTCCCTTGAATCCGTCGAGTGCTACGACTTGTCCGGGGAAGCATACTCTTCGCAGCTATCTGCCTCGCACTCACTCATGCGTTGTCTGTTCAAGCACTGCCCCAAGCTCAAGAGCTTGACCAGGACAGATTGGTGGAGTGATTTGGGGTGTGGGTATGAGGCGCGAGGGCGGACCACTAATCTCGTGAACTTGACGATTTCTGTGCCGGAGAACTATTTTGCCATGGACGAGTTGGTGGGGGTTGAGGATGTGGCGTGCCGGGAGCTCAGGGTATTATTAAGAGCGTCACCGTTGCTGAGGTACCTCGATTTTTACAGAGGGAGGATTAGCATGGGTATTATTTTTGCAGGGAACAGGCGTTCGTACCCCTGTAGCAGTTCTTCAACTTCGATTCCGTCCCTTTCCCCCTCCTCCTCCTCCTCCTGCTCCTGCTCCTCCTCCTGCTCCTCCTCCTCCTCCTCCTCCTCCTCCTCCTCCTGCTCCTCCCCCTCCTCTTCAGGCACTTCGACCTCCACTACCTGCGCAAACGGCGATGCCTCTCCCCTCATCCTACTAAACCTTAGGACCCTCGTCCTCTGGGCCACCTGTGTGGAGGAAAAGCCTCAGGAATTAGTCTCCGACTACCTATCCACATTTGCCGGCTTCTTCCCATCCCTAACCGGCCTAGAATTAGTGACCGTGAGGTGCTCGAAGGAGGGATCCTACCTGTCCGACCAAGTAAAACCGCAGGACCTGTTCGAGGCGATTACCACGCTCAAGGACGTGGAGGTCAAGAGCATTGTCGAAACCCAGATATACGACTTTACGAAGCCGTTGCCGTCGGCGGAGGAGTTACATTCTAGAAAGATGATGGAGAAACACGGGAAGCAGGAGGATAGGAAGTCGAGGTTTCGGGAGTGGTAGTAGTGTTTAGGATTCTCTCTCTCCCTCTCTCTCTTTGGCGGAACTTGCAGTGCCTGTAGTTGGAAATGCGGGGGATAGATTACAGAAAATCTTTTGCCGGGTTTACGTTGTTTGAAATTGGAGGAAAATTTCCAAAAAAATTCCACGGCATTCCTTCATTCATTCGCTTCTAACCCCCTCCACATCCTCTACATCTACCCAGGAGCCCCGCCAACCTTATCTTTGTCTTCACCCTTCCCACCTTTTTCTTTCTTTTCGTCCTACAAAGCCATCAATAATCCTCCAACCCTTCCCCCCCTCCAGACCTGGCCTTCCGGTCCTGCCAGTGAAACAGTTGAAATGCCGACACGGCAAAGCCACAGATGAGCACCATCATGAGTATCTATGGTAGAGCTGTTAGTTTTATTCTTTCACTTTTTTCCGGTTTCTGGGATTCGCTCCTTTAGGTGGGGTGTTAGGGGGGTTGGGACTACTCACTGGCTCCATTGAGGTTTACTTCTGACTGATTGTTGACTGGCTGCGGCTTTTTCCTTTCCTTTTTCTATTTTTCCAGTTGGAACGGATGTGGATTTCTGGAGCGGGTGAGGGATAGAAGCGTGATATAAAGGGTCCTGTGGGATTGATGGGTGAGCGAATGAGTCGGTCACGGGAGGGAGGGAAAGGAATGGGTGACCGTTTTTTTTTTCTACCTTTTTCTTTTTTCTTCTTCCCCTGACGAGAGGTTTATGATGTGATGACGATGGTATGAAGTGTAAGATAACGTGGTGTTCACGATTTGGGAATGTATACAGGACGGAGGTTAGCAGGAAGAGGAGAGGGTAGGAGAGTGATCTTGTGTGACTGAAATTTAAACCTAGCAGGGTAAAGTGCAGCACACGGCAGTACGATACCGTAATACTCGAGTACTTCATGGGTGCTTTGATTAATTGGTTACCACGTGTGTGCTTGGGCCATGTGAAGGGCAATAGTCCGAATACCAACGGCTCATCAAAAGGTATTCCCCATCTAAAAAAAAACCCCCAAATGAAAAAAAAAGAGGGGAGGGCAAGAATGACGATCACCGTGTCCAACCATACAATCAATACGGTACTCGCAGATTACCTCCGCATGTAACACTCCTATACATAGTCTCACTAACTCTCTCGCTCCATCCACTGCCCGCCAACGCTGACCACGAGTGACACCTCATGAACAGCGAATAATTCCCCTTCCCGGCGCCATACAGAATCATGCGTGCAAAACGATACCACTACGACACCATACAATGCACCGTGACTAAAGCTACACCCTCTCGACCCACCCCTTAACCCTTCCTCCCTTAACCCTCCCTGTCGTAACCCCGGCCTCACCTGTCAGCCAGCCAGGCAACCTGGCCCCGTCGAAGCCAACGCCCTGCTCGACCAAGCTGCGCACACCGGCAAATATATGCGACCCCTCAAGCCTTACCATGATTTTCGGCCTGAACTCTTCTCCCTCCTCCCCCATCCCTTCCTCCTGCTGGTGCTCTCCCGCGGGAAGAGAGCGGGGGGGAGGGAACTGCTCCACGAGTGCAAATACCGCACTCTCCAAACCCGTGCCATCACCCTCCTTTGCCCCAATGCCGAATCTAGCTTCTGCTATCTTTTGACGTTTTCTGGTTTGTTCGTCGCCCGCTTTCCCCTCCTCCCCCCGTTGCTCCCGCGGTAGCGGGGGAGCGCGAGTGGGGAGAAGGTCGAGAACGTCATCGTCAACGCTCGCGCCCCCGCCCGAGAATATGCTCCACCCACCCAACATGCCGCCATCGCCTTCACCGCCGCGGTGATAGGCCACCGCTTCCAGGGTCCTCGCGCTCATTCTCGCGGCGCGGATGCCGTAGCGGATGCCGCGCCTCGAGACGGCTATTGCGATGCTTTCGCGGATTATTTCCGGAAGTGAGGTGGCGGAGATGGCGGAGGAAGCAGGGAGGGTGTGGAAGACGTAGCCGTCTGTGGATTCGGGAAATGCGAGCCAGAATATGTGCTTGCTTTGGGGGAGGGTCAGTGGGGTTGCGGGAGGGGAAGGGGTGGGTGGATGGAGTTGCACACGGAGCATATGTAAGGGTAGGCTGGGGTGGTGGGTGATGTAGTAGTGTGGGGAGACGAGCGGGCGGAGGAGGGCTGAGAGTGTGTGGGCGAAGATTTTTGGGTGGAAGACTGTTTTGGAAACGGCGCTAGTAGGGGGGGGGTTGGAGAGGGGGTAGAGTTGCGCGGATGCCCACTTTCGACAGCTAGGGTGGTCTAGAAGATCTAGTTCCTCTCCGTCAGTCATGTTTACTCGGTGAAGGGGAAGGGCAACAGACAACGAAGATCCAACTCAGCTACCATCCCCAAGGTCAAACCATCCCTCCATTCGTGCTCCACGATCCTCTCGACAACCTCCTTCACCCGTACGCTCCTGTTCCTGCCAAATCCTTCGTACATCTCCCTAACAACTTCCATATCCATCTCCCCTTCCCCGGCCTCCTCCTCATCGTCATCATCCCAAACACGGGTCAAGTTCACCCCCGTGCCCCCCAACCACCCCAGCAACAACTCCACCAAGGAACTCTTCGATAACCGGGACAGGAGGCGACGGACCGGTGGGGTGTAAGCTATTCGTAGAGTGTCCGGGAGCGCATTGGCGGTTGTTGTTGATTTGCGTTTTTTCGACATTCCTATCCCTACCCCTTTTGTGTCCCTGGCGGTCGTGGCGATGCTGTGGTTGTTGGATCCGCGGTCTGTTCTGGATGGGAGTACCGGGAGTATAGGGTGATGGATGAGAGCATAAACAAAAGGGTTGGGAAAGTCGCGACGTGCACGGGCCCCGGCGATGCCAAGACTTTTGGTAATGACGGGTCAAGGGGGTTTGGAGGGGAGGGCGCATCTGGTGTCACTCGCCATCATACTCGGGGGTGAAGGAGTGATGCGGGCGGGCCAGTTGCGGGTTGGAGTACAAGTACCGGTATCATGCTATCGTAGTGCTATGGTAAATTGAGTACCTACCACCTCCACTACTGAGAACAACTTCATGTCCTCCCCATGGAATATGTCCCAGTGCCAATGCCCAAGTCTGCTAAGTTACCCTGCTCATCAGGCCGACGTCGCCATCACTGGCTTCGACAGGATATTCCCTATCCCTTCGTATGTATTCGTCGCTTTTTAGCGTGCGGGGACTACCAACAACAGGAATAGTGAGGACAATTGATTAGCCATACCAAAACCCAAACTGGAAAAATATATGAGGCTAACTCCAGATATCATTCAGGATTACTCGTGAAGCCGGAGGTGACTTTGTATGAGAATTTCTACTTTCAAGAGAAGGGTCCCATCTCAATTTGATAGCGGAAGTACTTTAATAGTAGGAAAGGTTCCATTCAGCTGATTGTGAGATAAATCGTAGACCGTGTGAGCCCTCTGTGAGACAGCATCCTCAGCGAGGCGTGCCATTGTCTACTACCTAAAATACTGCTAACTTAGGTATCGTTCTCTTTTCAAGGTGTGGAGAATATGTCTCTGGTTGCAATGCGCTGCTTTTGCTAATCAGATTTCACGTGACGGACATATTCATCGGCCGCACTCGTATGATATGTCTATATCATACATAACTACGTCAGGGAATAACATGGCATGCAAACTGACGGCCATAATACAGTTCCCCCTTGCAGTCACGCAAACCTTGGTGGTACAGTATATGACCAAACACTGCATGCCCCCCACCGTAAGAATTAAGAAGTAGTTTTTGAACGCCCGTTAAAATAATGCATGGGGAGAGGGGTGAGAGAGAGGGGAAGGGGGAAAGAAAGAGAATAGACACAGCGAAGAAAACTATTTACATCACCGGACAAACATGAAAGACCCCCCGAGTAATGACATTAGTCTACAACCTCCCTCCTGCAAACGCACGGATTCACTGGTTCCTAGAAATTGTTCGAGATATCAAAAGAAAGGGGGAAAAAAAATTCAAACGATAAAAACAACCATTTCCGCCCCCCTGCCACACTTACGCCACTGAAAAGACAGTAAAAGAAAGAAAAGAAAGCCGTAGAATGAGAATATGATAGATAGACAGACAGGGTGAGGAAAAGAGAAAAGGAAGAAGCAGGAGTCAAACGCCAAATGATTATGTGTTTTGTCTTCTCGTCTCTACCCTCTACCAAGTTGGAATAGAATACCCCTTCCACATTGTATCTCCCGAAACGTTCCCTGACATCACAAACTCCCTAATGAGAAGCAACCAGAAAAGCACAGTGTAGGGAGGCGAGAAGAAAAAAATCTATCACTTTTATGTGTGTGGTCGGGAGATCGGGATATGTATCATCTGAAGTGGGAGCTGTTAAATTCGTGTCATGGGTGAGAAGGGAGATGCTTTTACCAACCTTTTTTTTTTTAAAAAAAAAAGGAAACAAAAAAAAAAACTAAGAGTACCATCCTGAAGCACCAACCTCTTCTCGATGCTCCTGACGCGAGGGGATAATAGGTTCGTGAATGTCAAATACTTTGATCGCCTCTTGCCACTGATGCATCTCCAATGAGAGAATCATCTGGCTACGCGTGATGGTCATGGACTTGCGCTCTTCGGCTTCAGCGGGTTCAGCAAGGTCTGGAATAGTGTGTGGTTAGATCAGAGCTCGTAAAGAGAACATGTGAGACGCCATACAGACAACTGGGAGGTCATCGTCGTTCTCCTGAACCGAAACGAAACCATCCTTCACGAGAAAACTAACGTAAAATATATTTTCGATCGTTTGTGCAAAGCTGTGCGGGTTGACGACTGCTCGGAAAAGGTTCAACCCGCTGTCGGCGACATCTTCGTTTTCATTGAAGTAATCGGCCAGGGCGGTATGGACATTTCTTACAAGTCGAAGGGAAGTATTCGCATTGTTCTCGGCCTGTTCGTCCCCTTGCTCGATCTCAACGGGTCTGACGAGTGTCCCTCCACGTTTCAGACCCCGACGTTGCTGCCTCATGACCCGTACCCTCTTTGTTACGGAAAGCGGCCCGAGGAGAAAATCCGTAGTGGCAGGACGTTTGTTTCCTTTAAAGGCGGCTTCTCGCCCAAGGCGAGCCCAACTGATTCCGTCTTCATCGGCGTCCTGCTCCTCTTCAGCAGGGGCACCACGACGTGCCGGGGCACGATGCTTCATAAAAGTGATGCATTTTCCGACGAACTCGTCGTTGTCGATACCGCCAACTCCTCCACCAAAAGTAAGGTTAGTAGCCTTCTTTAAGGTTAAGTCGGTAGCGGTAACAAGTAGACGCGAATCGAGTGTCGCATCCGAAGTAGTTTTGACATTCTTGTAAAGCTCCTCCGCGCGCAAGTAAGTTTTTTTTAAACCGTCGTTTTCGGGTTCTAAAAATTCCTGTGTAGAATCTGCGCCTTGTCAGCACACAACTGAGAAGAATTACCGAGGTGGCACCATCGTCACCAAGTGCGGGACAAGCGAGAAAGAGAAAACAAGGACAAAACGAGGAAATACCTAACAGAGTTCTATGAAGGGTGCGATACTCCTTTTTAATTCTCCTCCTCTCCTCGGGGTCTTGATTGGGATCATAAGCGTCCTTGTCACATTCATCCTCGAGCAACTGTTGCGACCTCTGGGTGGAGCTCATCCCAGACAATCTACCATTGGAGGTTCTATGCTCCCTGGAATTGCTGCTACCCCCTTTCGCTGCCGAAGCGGCGTTCTCCTTGTCCGAGGAGGAAAAAGGCGAAACGTTTGGATTCGCGCGCGAGGAGCGCGCGGGACGAGCAGGTGGGGAGGAGGAGGCTGCATCGTCATCTGAAGGATCTTCCTGGATTTGAACACGGCGGGGCATGATGATGGGGCGGAGAAGGTGGTTGTGATATCGTATTGGAAGATTACCCGAGGACCGTTAGGGCAACAGCAGGCGGATAACTGTGCTCGCTGTCGGATATGACAGACCAATAGATAATGAAGCCAGAGGTTGAGATGGAAGGATGGTGACTGTGGTGCAGAAGGAAGGAGAAGAAAAAGAAGAAGGAAAATGAAGGCGGGGAGGAGAGATTAAAGAAGAAAAAGAAGGAGAGTTACAAATGCGGGTGTGGGCGTATGAGGGGGAGGGGGGGAAGGAACGGTGGATTGTAGGAAAATGGAAAGTTCTGTTGGAAGACGCGATGGGGAAGCGCGTTCGGGGCATAAAGTGGGAAGCCTTATGATATCTTGTTATCGTGAGTTAACGAGACAAGCAGCCAATTAGATTAGCGGGTGCGCGTATATTGCTGACTAACAAGGGAGAATCAAGGTTTCTCAACGGAACAAGAGGATAGGGGTGGGTTATGACGGCGGTAACAGAAAGAGATGGAGGAAGAGATATTATGCAGGCAAGACTTCTTTCTTGATGGAGGCGGAAGCTTCACCTTTTCACCTTTGCCTCAAAGAAAGCTGATGATACATATCCGGCCTATCTGGGCTTTCGGGTGCGGGTGGACGCTTTGTTTTATTTATCACAGGACCCTATGATATCGTAGCATGGAATTTCCGGCAACTCACTCCGCCACACATGAGGATCGGGGCGCGGAGAGGTGGGTGGGTATTCTATCATACGGGCACCGGTGCTGGGTTAATAGTTGACAAGCTTCAGGAGGATCATATCATATCGTGCGGTACCCATTACGGGTACGATATACCGGTATCATACTGCCACCAAGACCTAAACCCGAGCCTCCTACCGGTACTGAACCGAGCGGTATGATACCTGTATGATATTGTGATAACGCCGGTACGATATCACACGGCACCAATATTAAAGCCTTTATATGATAGGACACTGCTTCCTCAAAAGGATAAAAAGGCCTTGGTATGGTATGATATGATAGAAACAGTGCCCCCTAGCATAAGAAATTATGGTAAAGGCCTCTCCGTAGAAAGTACAGCCTTCTCGCAGACCCTGTCCGCCGTTGGTATGCTGACTTGTATCGGGGGCACCGTACTATAACACCACCATCGCCCCCCAAGGAGAATAGAAGAATAATACCAGGGGCAGCGTGCTGTAGCGGTTAGGTGATGGAAGGTGCTTTCGATGCTCATATTCCTCGTGGGGTGTGTAGGTCGGGTTAGGATTTACAAACGGTTACTGTATCGTATCATACTAGGAACAGGCCCTCAAAGTCTCGAGGAGGAGACTGCTAGTAAGAGTAACTATTGCTCTCCAGTTGCTTGGTATATATATATATATATATATTTGTGTTTCCCAGTGCATTGCTCATATCCTGGCACGTGTGCTCACCTGACCGGCCACTTTGAAGGATCTTGTTTTATATAATAAGATCATACCGGTCTGATATGATACCCTCAATCATGGCGGAAGTGCGAACAGAGTGATCGAGGGGACTCCATCCTGCCGAGTGAGAACTCATTGTGGCGGACAAGCCGTTCAGATGTATGCTCGCACACGAGCCAATGCCTAGACCCGCCTTGTTACTTGCCTCAGCCTGAATCTTTGTTCCGTGGTGTGATGGAGTTTGTTACTCTAGCATCTTCTCGCAAAGGACCCTTCTTCTGGCACCATCGAGCAATTGTGGATATTGTGGCTGGGCGACCCTGTCGGAACCCACGGCTTGTCCCCGTCGGACCAAGATTTGGTCGGGCCGAACTCCTCACCACCAAGTATCATATCTTGAAGATGTATTAAGCGAAAACATGAATACTCCAGTGGGGGATATTGTTGCTGCCGGTGTCGTGTATCCGGGGCTCGGGCCCCGGGCACGCCCGCACCAGGAGTACCTGTACGGTACTTGGAAGTTCCATAGGCAGAGGTGTGGGTTTCGAATATGGGTACGACTACTTTCGTCACAACTCCACCCTACCCATATACTCAACCAGCTCTTGCTATATCCCATACGCGTCCTCCAAATCCCTCCAAGTTTGATAAAGCATCCCTCGCCTGACTTCCGCTTCTCTCTCTCCCCTCTCCCCTCTGCCCCCCCCGCCCTCTCAGTTCACTCACCTCATACGCTCGTTAACAGCCACAAGTAGTCCCAATGGCCCCCAGCAATGGGTTCCGAGCCAATCCCACCGTCCTACATGCTGGCCCCCCCGCTTTTCCTCCCCCGCCATCTTCCCGGCCCCCCGACCCCGCAGCGGCTGAAAGAGCGTTTCTCAACCCTCCCTTCGTATGGAAGGGGATCCCACTCAGATCCTTCCGCTGCACCTCGGACGGTGACCTATCTAGCCTGGCTCCACTCGAAGAAAAGGGTTACTTCCTAAGTCTCTCGCACAAAAAGAGATACAAGTCCCTTAAGAAGCACCTCCACCAGGACCTAGAGGACATGGCTCGCCGTCACAGGGTCGAGAATAAGCTCGAATCTGCCATTCGTGTGGCGGTTGAGGAAAGGGAGATCGCTGACTTTCATGAAGACTTCACCCGCCGGTTAGAGTGGGGTGATGAGTCTAGCTCTTTGCTTCTGGGACATGACGTGTTTTCCGACGCTATGAGGGAAGGCGGAATGTTGGAAAATGGAGCGGCTGGCTTGATACGAAGCTCTGGAAAGCGTGCCCGTGAAAACCCTTGCGCCGCGGTTGCTAGGTTCTCTGAGAATGGGCAGGGTTCTCCATTCCCGAGTGTCAGGATTTACTTTAGGCATTACCCCGGGATCAGCATATCATCGGCTGTGGGCGACTTCTACAGAAGGCTAGAGCGGAAGAGAGAAGAGTTTGGCAATGCCCTCGAATTTCAACAAATGTGGGAATGGAGCGAGAGGCATTGGAACTTTTTCGAAGCAGTTAGCCATCTAAGGAACCGAGTACAGTCAGAGGAGGCAGATGGGAACGGGAAGTCCGAGACCCCGGAAGGGGCAAACAATGCCACGTCAGGTTCGCCGGGCAGTGCGGAAGACCCCGAGGTCGTCAGTTGGACCCCTGAGTTGGAGGCCAGGAAGCGCCGGCACCAGTGGGCTATTCTGAGAAGGATCACGGCCGCCTTCGAGATCAACGAAGAGGACTTTCCCGAGGTGTGTGCCCCGGGTGGGAGGACTCTGGATAGCTACTTCTCCATTGGAAAGCACGGGGTGGGGGAGAAATGGTATCCGGTAGACCGAGAACTGGAGGGTAAAGGCAAGGGAGGGATAGAGGAAGCCATGGAGCAGATTGACTGCTTTGAGGGTGTTCTTGCGTCCGGAGGCGGCTTGGCAGAAGCTTCCATGGCAGTCATAAAACGTTGCCGAGAGCGAGATGCCCGAGTGACGCTCGGTGATTATCCGACTGCTTCAAACGAGGAACAAGGAGGGAGTGGTGAGGAAACACCGGCACGGCAGGATCTCATCGGTCACATAGCCCCAGAACCCCAGAGCCGCCCACCCGGAAAGGACAGCAGTAGCAGCGATATGACTCTGACAAGGGACCAGGAGGCCCCTGGTCCCTTAGATGGCTCCGGCGGGAGCGCAATGTTAAATACAAGGATATTCATCTCTGCCCTCAGGGGCCGCTTTAACGGAGCGGTAAGCACACACCCCACTCAAAAGCATCTCCCAATTATGCTGACATTAATTGACCACCAGGAAACTCAGCCAGACGCGGCAGGTCAACCAGTCCAAGGATGGTTTGAAAGCTGGAGGAATCCGAAAGTACATATTAGGCCTCTATTAAGGCCATGACTACTAACGGCAGCGGAAAGCTGGGACCAATGGCACCCGGCCTGGCGTTTGGTGTTTGTTCATCGATTTTCCCACGGGCCGTTGGAAGATGGCGGGATCAACGTGTCGTTGCGCACGTGACGGGATGGGGCAGAGCTTGTGGCAATGTCGTCTTTCAACTTTGTACGAGTAGCGTAACCCATAACAACGTGATAAGAAAGAGAACCGACCAGTGTCGTTTATCAATTGAAAAAACTAGAAAGTGAAAAGCGTGTGCAAGTCTTGGTAGATTGATGGATAATTTTTCCCCGTCGTGGAGCGTCCCCTACTAGAAATACAGGTGCATGCTAACGTGAGTTACTTTTAATATATATATATATATATATATTCCGTTCAACAAGAATGAAATGTGAAGACGGGACGAAAAGAGGCACTCTACATGCCTTAACCAACGGGAGAGGGAAGGGGGGGGGGTAGGAGAGGAGGAGAAAGCCAATGCGAAAAAGAGGAAGGGAGAAAAACACCAATTGAAAGGGAGAAAAGTAAAGCAAGCGAGAAAAAACTTCCATCTCTCAGTACATCAGTTCCCACAACTTGGTTCGCGGGACAAACACATAACACACGGAGAAGAAAGGGGGAAAAACTAACTACTGTAATACCAAGCTTACACGTATGATAACATGAAAGGGTCGGGTGAAGCCAGGTTGGGCTCACCAGCCATGTGCGTATATGGATTAGGCAAGTTTTCTTGCTACTAGCTTAAAATCCACCACCAGCCGCCAATTGATGCTTCAATAGCATGATCTGGCTCTGCTGATCTGCCGGCAGCGCCCCTATCTGCTCGGGCGTTAGGCTTAATACCTGCTGTATCAGCGCTGCTCGCTGGGGGTCCGCGACGATGGCAGCTTGCGCGGGCGCAGGGGTGTATGCTGATTGTTGCTGGGGCGGGGTAGGCGCCGCGGGCACGGCCGGTGGTGGGACGTACTGTGATGCGTACGCTGCCGCCGCCGCCGCCGCCGCCGCCGCTTGTTGTTGTGGAGGTGGTGGTGGGGGGGGCGGGACGATACCGGTAACGGCGGAGGTGGTGGTGGAGGCGGAAGCAGGGAGGGATTGAGAGGGTGCGGCGGCGTTTTCGATTACTTGCGTTAGCACGCTGGTGTCCACCAGGTTCATTAATAGCAGGGCTTGGAAAATGGCATAGGAGAGTTGCGGCGCCTGGCGGAGGAGTTCGGTTGCCTTGAGGGGGTCCGTTGCCACGAGGGCTTTCATCTGGCCCAGGATATCCAGGAGTTGTGAGGGCTGGAGGGCCGACAGGGTTCTGGAGATTGCGTCTGGCGCGTTGAGGCCCACTGGGAGGTCTGCTCCTGGGGGCAAGGCGGGGAGGACTCCAGTGCCGCTTGCTTGGGCTCCTATACCGGAGGTGGAGGTGGCAGAGGTAGCGGCAGTAGTGTTGGCGGCGTTGGGAGCGTTGGCGACCGGTGTAGAGGTGATTGGCCCCGCGACGCCCCCGACACTACTCATTATGTCGTCCATTCCCATCCCCTCCGTTGCGCCCCCCTCGTGCGAGAAGTCGACACGCAGTTTCCGTCCCATGATCTCGTGATTGTCCAGGTTGCGGACTGCGCTCGCGGCCGTCTCCTGGTCGCTGTATTCGGCGAAACCAAACCCCTTGGGACGACCAGTCTCGCGGTCGTAGACCAAGCGGAAGGAGAGGACACGGCCGACTGAGGAGAATGTTTCAGTGATTTGCTCTTCTGTTAGGCCTGGTTTCCCGTCAGTTTCTGGATGGATGGGGAGAGGGAGAGAGGAAATACCATAGGGAATGTTGCCAACGAACACTATCTTCCCGGTTGCGGAGCGGTCGGGTGGCATCCTGATGGGTTGAGCTAATTCCTTGTTTTGGGGGTAGAGCGGAAGGTGGCGGTGACGAAGTGGGGAAGGAAAGGTTGGCAATTGAACCCGTGAAGTTGAGTTAGGGTGGGTCGAGGCTTTCTCTTCCCTATAAACAGGTAGCTTTTTTTTGAAGGTGGTGTCGGGCTACAAGTAGGGGTTCCAGGCGATATCCTCCGTCTTGGCGTTGTTGTTGCGGGAGTTGGGGTGTGTGGTATGTATGATACCGGTATGGTACAAGTATGATATGATACCGGTACCAGTATGAAAGGTGCAGCAGGAAGGAATGTCAATCCCCGGAGAATGATACGAACTATCCTCCGGAGCTCAAGGGTCAACTTTTATTGCTCGGAAGGGATAAGGATTAATGATGGATAGGGGTCAAGAGGAAAAATTGATCTTGTACTGGTACAGGAGGTTTCGGGCATCGCTTTCAACCCGATTTGGTGGTGATTGCTGGTTTGACGGGGCTCCTTGTCAAGGCCAGGCACAGTCGACACAAATCATCATACTAGCCTATACCCTATGATAGCCACCACGGGAGAGGCTCAGGGACAGCGATTACCCGAGCCCAGCGAATAATTGATTTCGACCGTGATCGTAGAGACTCCCAAGCTATAGTATAATGCCCGTCCGTGTCCCAATTCCTCTAACTTAAGCTGTTCGGAAACCGGTACCGGCCACTGGCCTAAAGTATCATTGCAATACAGGTATTGTAATCGAGTACCGTATTAATATCATACAGTACGAGCACACAGCTCGCCAACCAAATTTACAATCTACGCATTCCAACCGGTTACACTGACACTGACCGTCAGTAGATCATCCAATCAACTACCGGTACCCAACACCAAGATCCAACCCAGGGGTCCCTCACAAATGACCTAGATCTCGGCACACCAGGACGATCCCGTGAAATCGCCAAGAAAACATTATCGATCCCCCCCGACGCCATCGACCCATACGCTATATAATATCTCCCACTCTACAATCTGCCCTACTTGCCACTCCCTACAACGGACTCGAAAGGGTTCTTCCGCTCAAAGAAACCTGAAAACATCGCTACCACTACTCAATGGCCGGCCGAATACCCCTTCAACAGCTCTCCCGAGCGAGTACGGCTGCAGCATTTCCAAGCTCGTTCTTTAGCCAACGTCTTCCAGCTTCGATCGTTGCTGCCAGGAGTTTGGCTACCGCTCCCCCGCTGGAAGGAGCGAAGGGTGGGAGGGGGACGGCAATCGTCCTATTGAATATGGGCGGCCCGAGCACTGTTTCCGAAGTCCAGGATTTTCTGTCAAGACTTTTCGTACCCACTCCCCCTCACCACCCACCATAATCCCCGCCACACTAACAATTACACATAGGCCGACGGCGACCTCATCCCCCTTGGCCCCCTCCAAAAATACATTGGGCCCCTGATCGCCCGCCGCCGAACGCCCAAGATCCAAGCCCAATACAGTGTGATTGGTGGTGGCTCTCCAATCCGTCGCTGGTCCGAACTCCAAGCTTCCGAAACCTGCAAGCTCCTCAACAAACTCCACCCTTCAACGGCCCCACACAAGCCCTACGTCGCCTTCCGCTACGCCGCACCATTGACCGAAGATACATTCCTGCAGATGAAGGCTGATGGTATCCGTCGCGCGGTAGCGTTCACGCAGTACCCCCAGTACTCGTGCTCTACCACGGGGAGCAGTCTGAACGAGCTCTGGAGGCTGAGTAAGAAGTTCGACGCGGAGGGGCAGATTGAATGGAGTGTTATTGATAGGTGGCCGGCGCATAAAGGTTTCGTGGAGGTGGTTGCTAGGCATATCGAGAGGAGTCTGAAGACGTATGCGGAGGAAGACAGGGGAAAGGTTGTGCTGTTATTTTCGGCGCACAGTTTGCCGATGTCTGTTGTTAACCGGGGTTTGCTTCCCCCCCTCGTTATGATATGGGAGGAGATGAGGTGTTGATGATTGTGATAGGGGACCCATACCCGGCGGAAGTCGCCGCAACAGTCTACGCCGTTATGCAACGCCTAAACTTCAAGAACCCCTACAGGCTCGTCTGGCAATCCCAGGTCGGGCCGTCACCCTGGCTCGGCGCACAAACGAGCAGCACCGTGGAAGAATACGCGAAAAAGGGCCAGACGAACCTCCTCCTTATACCTATTGCCTTCACTTGTTTGTCCCCTTTCCCTTACCCCTTCATGGGATATCACTAACACCCGACACTAGCCGACCACATAGAAACCCTCTACGAACTAGACCTGGAAATCATCGCCGAGAGCAAACAGCCAGGGATAAAACGTGCTGAATCACTCAATGGTGATCCGTTGTTCATAGAGGCGCTGGCGGATATTGCAAAGACGCACTTGGAGAGCCAGGGCAGGACGAGTGTCCAGATGGTGCTGAGATGCCCGATGTGCAAGAGTGAGAAGTGCGCGGAGCAGAAGGTATTGTGTCCTCTCTCTCTCTGTGCACCGATCTGGGTAGGTGCTAACCGATCTGTAGAAGTTTTTCATGGGCGGGGGGTGGGTAGATCATTGAGCTGGACTAGGTATGATATACAACTTTTTCTTCTTCCTCCTCCTCCTCCTCCTCCTCTCCGTCCATCATACTCGAACATCGCACTTTTTAGAGGTGCCCCACTAGTGGCCAATCATGAGTTTATGTAATACCTGTACTTGTAGGTTCAAGTGTTTCAACCGCCCTGATAAATACCATAATTTTTCTTATTGTTATAATACATAGAACTTTTTGATATCCCCCGAACGACCATCACCCCAGCCCAGCAAATTTTGCCCCAACGCTAGCCCCAAGACCAAACGTTCACCATATCACACACCCTTCTTCCCCTTCCCCTTCCCCTTCCCTTTTCCTTTCCCAATAACCTTACCCTTACCCTTCCCACCCCTCACCCCCACAACCCAATCCACAAACTCCACAAAAAAACCCCTCTGCACTCCCGTGCCGCCACCCCCAACCACCCACTTGGTCAAAGTCTCCGCGTAAACCCCGGCAATCCTTCTAACCCTCTCTTCAAACGCTTCCTCCTGCACCCCCTCGCTCCCGCCGCCAACCAATATCTTTCCCAAAATCAGCGAAGCGGTAGAACAGGCCTTCGCGTACTTGTCCCTCCCGGCCGAGCCAGGGTCCAATTCTGCGAGTTCGTGCACCTCTTTCAACAAAGCCCACAGCCTCTCCTCCTCCCCTAGCGAGGAGGAGTGGAGCGGAGGCGGATTCCTCAAACAAATCTTCAAAACTCCAAAACACCTCTCGGCAACAGCCCGGTCACCAGTCTTCCTAACGCACGCCAGCAGCGGCAACAACAGCACCCCAGGATCATGCCTTACCTCCCCCTTCCTCCGCTTTTTATCAGCCTTAGCGAAAATCTCGAGTAAATCTAATACTCGGACTTTGAAATTCGTAATGTTTTGTTTAGCGACCTTCTCGGATCGTTTTTTAGAGGTGGAGGGGAGTCTAGTGCGTTGGCGGAATATCTTGGAGAGTGTTTCGTCCAGGTTTAGCATTGCGCCGTCGGACATGTCGGAGTCGGAGTCAGCTTTTGGCGCGTGCGGGGTCAGTGCGTGGTTTAGGGCGGCCTCAAGCTTTGCCGTTTCGTCGTTGTCGGTGTCGGTGTCGGTGGCGGCCTCGCCCCCTTGGGAGGAGGGCGAGGGGGAGATCATTTCTACCTCCGAGTCCATTTCGTCTGAGTCTTCGTCCGAGCCTTCGGTGGAGGCACTTACTTCCCCGACGTCGTCGGCTCCATCGTCCATGGCTTCATCACTACCTTCATCCTCATCGTCCTTATCGAAAAGCTCCTGCTGTCCACCCAGACTCTCCTTCGTCTCGAGTACATTAGTCAAAAGTTCCAAGCCAGCATCGGTAACACTGTCAACAAACGTCGTGAACACTTGCTGTGCCAGCTTTCGCAGCAGAACACTTGGCTTCGACAAGAAGCTTAGCAGGATCTCCACCAAAATTTCACCAGCATCGACTTCATCCTCCGTTGCATGTTTCCGCTTCGTAATGACCTTCTCGTAGCAAAGGTTTAGCTCGCCGAGGACCTCCAGCGCGTCCGCTTCACCGTTCAGGATCTGTAGGACGATGAGGGAGTAGAGGAGTTCGAAGGACTCTAGCTGGGTGGCTCTCTTGGTCTTGTCGGATTTTCGGGCGGAGGTGCGCTGCGAGTGACTGTTAGTGATTGTTTATGACAGTGATTATATCAAATGGGGAAGGTCTTACCTTTTTGTTTATTTCCTTGAGGGTTGATTGGGCCTTCTTTATTGATATTTCGATGGTGTCGTCGAGCTCGAGCACTAGCGTGTCTTTGATATTGAGGGCTTTCTTGACTGCACGGTACGGCCATGTCTCGTCGCCAGAGATATTATCCTTGATACCGAGCAGGTGGGATAGGCAGGACATGAGTCTGGATCTGAACATTGCCTGGCTAGTAGGTGACACCGGTATTCCCAGTTCGGCCCCGCGAACCGGTGCCTCAAGGAAGCCGAAGCCTGCGAGTAGAGATACGGCTCTCTTAATCCATGATTCCGCTTTTACGGATTTCCCATTCCGAATGAGGGTGAGTATCTGGTCCGCCGCCCACTGTCGCCTAACTTCAGCAGTTTTCACCTTCTGTTGCTGGCCCTCCTCCCCCGAGCAACCATCCCCTCCCGACCCAAGAGGATCCAATAAGATCTTCCTGAACTCTCCAATAATCGCACCGAGCCCGTCTTTGTCTGCCAGTATCATAATCTTATCAACGTACTTCGTCCTCGTCAGCGAGTCAAAGTTAGGCGTGCCATTATTTGAGACCAACTGCGCAAATATCAGAGGCACGGCCCACGGAGTTGATTCAGCCCTCTGTAACAGTGTCCTCGCGCACTTCTGTGCAGCCTTGTGCAAGTACCGTTCTGGATCCGATAACTGGTTTATCAAGCATCGCATAAAGTTCTTGGAGAACATTGGCGCAAGATATGATCCACCATCAGGGAAAGCAAAAATCCGACTGAGTGCTTTCCCGAATATGAGAAACCCCCAGAACTTTCGCTCGTTGGAAGAGGAGGCGGAGAACAGGCTTTCTAAGTAAAAAATGACATGTTAGTGACTCCCGCCTTTTCAACAGGTATGGCTATTTGTCCGCCAATCATTAGTCCCGAATTCTTCATCAGGGAATGTTCAGGGTGGAGCTGGCAGCCGCTTCAATCTCCCACTACGTCAGTAACCCCCACATGCCACTGTTGCCATAGGATAGTCCCCGCAAGGAGATTCATCTGATAGGCACTGGTGGTTTTGTCCGCGTGGTACAAGGAACCTCGAATATTGAAGCAAGTGATAGTGTGCGGAAAAAACCTACCATCTATGGCAACCTTCCAGAACTCCTCCCACGTAGGCATTGCGGAGGCTTCTCGTTCCCGAAACTCCCCCCACTCTTTGCCCTCTCCGTGATAAACTTCAAGCACTAAATCCCAGACAAAATTAAGCTTTGGGTTCCAAGAGCCCTTCTGTCGTATATCCCCCCCCTCTTCATCCTTGGACCCGGCCTCCTTGAGAACCTTCGCTAACGCGGCCAAATTCGGCCTCGCCAGTGGGCACTCCTTCATCCAGTGATTCCCCGGTGGGAGAACGCTCGGGCAGTGCGCCTGGAGAATCAGCCACACAGCCGTCCCGTCACTCGTCTTCGCCAGCCCGGACTCCGCCAATGCGTCATAGGTAACCTTTGCGGCCCACTGTTTCGTTTCACCCGACCAGCCAGGTACCGCCGAGCACACAATCGATGCACAAGACTCCCTCAGCCACCGCTTTTGCACAGACAGCTCAAACAAGAACTTCAAGACCTCTGCATACCCCTCTCCCTCCACCCTGCGGAAGAGAACCCCAGACTGCACAAGAGCCTTCAGTCCGAACAACCTCCCAAGATGATAATCTCTCTCTTCCGGCCCCGTAGTATGCCCCGGCGGCTGGGTGTTGACAACAACAAGCTTAATCACCCCTGCCAATTCAAACCCCCATTTTGCGGCATTCCCGGTTTCCAAAATGTGTCCAAGAAACTAAAGACCACCCACAAACATATATCCTCCCATCAGTAAAACAAAGCCCTCCCAATCGCCCAATTCCAGAAAGACAAAAAGAGGAATATCGCCAACCTCCGTGAGCACGGCCGCAAACCCCGGCCTCGCCGACCCCCGCCCACTGGCCAGGCCCTTCGTTAACCGGCCGAGGGCATAATCAAGGGATGATTTAGACTTTTCCGAATACTCACTCGAGAGCAATTGCAGGAGTTCCGAGGCCAGTGCCGTCGCAGCGTCCAGACGGATGGCGTGGTCATTGTCACCCAGTGGCTTATAGAGGTGGAGGGACATTGAGGTTTTAGAGAAATGTGAGTGGGTATGATCACTGGAGATATTTTCTTTCCGTGGTGTTTTTTTTTTTCCTTTTTTCTTCTTTATTTCCCTCGTTGGTTGCCAAGATTTGGTGGGAGGCCTAAAGCACGTGATTGGGAAAGGGAAGAAGGGATGCAAGGGTCCGAGCGTTGGTCATGGTAGGTCACTCGGTATATGGGCGCATCGCAATTTGCGAGGCGCCGTATAATACCCAATCCCAGCAGTGGAGGAGTGTGGGGGGGCACGATACAACTCGTGTCGTACGGTACTGAGGACGTGCAGTGTAATCCGATTATATGAGACGGTAATGCAACCCGGACGACGACGACCACGATGACGATTGGCGGCCCTTTGCGCATGAAAGAAGCGCACAACCAGTACGGTACGGCAAGCATTAACTTCAATGTTCCTGGTACGAGTACCACACCGGACCTCATTTCCCTCAGGTGATACCGGTACGATATCTCGAACGACCCCATTTCCGGGCTTACTCACACCATGCTATAATACAGTTGTACCACACCCCAAACATACCCACATACGATAAACAGCATGATATATAGAGATCTCCCTTGCCGCACAACTCGAATGGATCTCGTCGGCTGGCTCCAACTAGGGCCTAGAGGGCGAGGGCAGACCCGAAGCAGACCCGAGCCACAAACAAGGCCAGAACAAGGGGGTTTAATCGATTAATTAAAGGTTCCAGATACGATACCAAACTCTATATTACTGTAGTTTTCAGGTCACTTGGGACACTTTGCGATTGCTGACACAAAAAAACAGGTCCTGAGGGTTGGGACACTCTATGCTGACACAAAAAGACTTTGGAACAGCTTACATAATTTTTCTAGTTTTCTTAATTGTTTTCTATAGATGCTACTATATACTAGAAATAAAATCTTACAGTACTGTATATAGTAGGTAATAAGGGTAAGAGTAAGGTTAAAAGTACATGGTAGGTTTTGGGTCTTTGTAGATATTAGCATATGTAGTTAGGGTATACTGAATAATGTTCCTTATATCATAAGTCACTCAAGGTGGAACTAATTGTCCTAGTTACAACTCCATGAACGTATACGATGGAAAACCAAATTTAAACATGGACTGACATGTTCCAAACTTTGGGACACAAGCCGGCTGACACTGACAAAGTGGATCTTTGGTGGGACAGGACACACCATGCTGACAGCTGACCGTTCCAAGTGACCTGAACTCTATAGTACAATACAAGGCGGTCCTCAAAACACCCGGGACAGTCGAAACGGAAAAACTTTAAAGAGGGCAAGGGCACAAGCCCGAGAAATAAAAAGTCGCTAATATCGAAAGAGTATCATAAAATATCCACGAGGACCAGGGCAAGATAAGGTAGAATTTAGGAAAAACAATAAACAACTGTATAACCAGAAGATTCCCTCTCTGATAATCATGAGACTGTGTGGTACGGTACAAGTACACACAGGTGGATACTTGTCTATCATATCATACCAGTATCATGCAATCGTCATTTCACTTACTTTTTGAAAGTCCTAAACCCTACTCGTTCTCTCTCTCTCTCTTCACTCCGAGTTGAAAACTGACAAAGAACTATGATATTCGGCCCATAACATTTCTTTGCTTCGATATAGCACAGTGCGGAACAATCCGCCAATAAAAAATTTGTACGTATGATATGAGTGTGATACAGCAAATACAGAAAAAACCCACCATTGCATTTTATCACATCAGCCACCAGAAAAACTTCACATCAAGTAATAACTCCCCCCCCCCCTCATCCTCTCCGAAATAACGGCACGTGATACCGGTGCCATAAAGCTGAACCACCCACTGTCAGCTACGGCCGTACTATACAACATAGTGTGGTACAGTAAATTTATAACTTTAAAAGGGAATAGGGCCCTGTTCGCTCCACGCCAAGAGGAATCTACCGCTATAAAGGTTGAAAATGGCGTATATGCCGGTAAAGAATACCGAGGTATTTCACATTCGTATGCTCCAGTTTGGCAGCCACCGCAATAGAAACCCGGCTTGTGATTTGAACCCTATCATATACTATGACAATAACCTCGGCGAGAGCTATTAAAAGAGGGAAAAAAAGAAAATAATAATAATTTACAACCGGAGAACCCAATCTGATCCACCCCTCTATGATACCAGTATTGGAAAACTCCATTTCTCCGAAGCGGGAGACGGAGCGGCTGTCAGGGTTAATCCGTGCCCACCGGCCAGCTTGCCCGCCCACTGGACCCGCAACACGACATGGTTACCTCATTGAAATTATTTTTTTCCTCTTTTCGATTTTTTTTTTTTTTTCCCATGGAGGGTTCACTTCAGCTGCGATGCACATGCGCAGGAGCACTCGAGTATGACACCGCTGGTATCGTACCGGTAGTACAGCAGCCGTATAGATCCATGATACCGTAGGGCTGGGATTCCGGCCAGCCGGCGATGCGGATACAGTGATCCGTTCCGGAACCCCCCCCACGGTACAATACGGGTTGTTGAGTGTAGTGCCATAAGGAAGGTGGAAGCCAAATAAATTTATACCCCCAGAATTGGAAGTCCTTCGATCCCGTAAATTTCGGAGTTTTTTTTTTCCTTTTATCGGAAGGGAAGGGAGAAAAAAAAAATTTGGTAAAGGGTCGAAAAATAGGTGGATTACCCCAAGGTTTCCTGGGATGTGCGACTCTTCGGATTTTTCTGCCAAACTGGGATGGAGTTTGTGATCAATGCTTCCTTTCTCGGCCGTTGGGTGGGGTACGGTATGACTTACCTGCCAAGACGAGGGTTCTCGTATGCGAGGCATAGCCGATAACGGTATATGTAGGCTGCGCGGCAACGATCGCTTCGATTGCCTCCGACTTTCCGCATGGAGCGGGTGAAGATCGGGGAAAATTGTTGCTCGTACAGCACGTATTTCAGACACTTTTGGTAATTTCCAAAAGTCTCTTCTTCAAGCTCATTGTTGCGGAGCCCGTGCAATAATGGCCCACTCGAAAACTCTCGTCTTCGGTGTGTGTTCCCGCCCGGTGTATCCCTACTCGAGCACGGTACACCAGGCTTGACCGTAATCAGCGAGTGATGGGCGATGATGGAGGGGTACTGTAGGAAGGGTTGTTAGTCGAGGTCAACCGTTCTGGCCCGAGATGGAAAGAGTGGTTTGTACTGGCACCCACAAAACCCTTATATTATTGTATATGATGTATGGGAATCGAATGGAAATTTCGTTGCTCAAAGGGATCGTGTGATACGGTACTGGGCACTGGGCGACGAGTTGGGGTGATGGCGCAGTAGCTAGACAAGCTCATGATACCACGCGCTCGTGTATGTGCGCATGTGGCCCATGTGGCACCCCAACGTGCCTTGGGTATGTGTGAATGTGGGTGTAATGTGCCTGTTGATATGTATGACATGGGCTCCCGGGGGAGTGTTTAGTTGGTTTTGTTCGTTCGGCTGGGCTCGGCCCTCGGTTCTGTTCAGAAGCTGGAGGATGGATGGGCGGCGGGGCTGTGGATGGGCGAGCTGGTGGGCCATTTATCACACTCTCCTGTGCTGTGCGATGAATGATTTGGGAACATGTTAAGGCAGTTGTGGAGCACATGGTACCATGATTGATCTTTGAGCTTGTTCTACTCGCGGAGGTTTGCGGTGAGAACTCAGGGTGAAGTGGGGAGAGGAAGGATTTTGGGTGGACAGCAGGCACCATTTCATAGCTCTCAAGTGACTCAGCCCGACAGCTTGCTCGGAGAAAGAAAAGAAAATAGGGATGAAATAAAGTTATCACGGGACAATGTTACAGATTGACCAGTACTGAGTGCCATACAGGTGTCATGTTCGCCACGCTTCTCCCCTTTTGCCAAAGACATAAAGCAAGAAGAAACCATGGGATTGCATATCTCGACATGGCAAACCGCCATCGACATATATACCCACACACATCCATCAAGCCTTGATATGGTTCCCAATCTGAGCACCAAAAGCTTCTGTCGATGCCGGCCGCTCCCTCCCCTTCTTACGAGACGATATGGTACATGCATATACTCTGTCATCCCGTTTCACCAGGCACAGTGTCTTGCCGAACACGGAAGAGGGGGAGGGAAGGAAAAACGAAGGCAAGAAAAAGGGAGATACTAGCATACGAGTACGGTACAGAAAAGGCAACAGCAAACTGTGTCAGTATCATAAGTGACAGGTCGAAATGACAGATGTATGCCTATGATACCCCCCACTTCCGCCGCTCGCCAGAATTTTTTTCTTTCCTTTTACCCCCCCCTTCTCTTCCTCGCTAGGTCGGGGGGGGGGGGCTCTTGCGTCTTTTCGTGAGGCTTGAAGTTCAAGTGAAATTATAACTCTTTGTTTTTCAATGTTGGTGTGTGTGTGTCAACGTGTGTGTGCGGATGTTGAAATTGAGAATCTGCAAGTAGGAGCGAAGAGTGATCGCCACTGGATAGCTTATAATAGTCCACCACTCGAGTATAAGTACGAATAAATTCCTGGTAGAGTTGCAATGCCTGCCCCCTGGAAGAAAAAAACCGCCCCTCGAATGCTGCAGCCGCCGGCCGCCTAAAAGTATCTCCGTTGTCGAATCGTTGAAGTGCAAGTGCAATACCGGTAGTCTATCATACTGCAAGGGTAATATAGGGTATGAAAGCAAGTGGGCGCAGGGCGGATAAGGAGATACAGTACTCGAGTACAGCAACCGTGCCTTGCGCTAGAGCTTTCTGAAGCCAGACTCTTGGGGAAGGAGGAGAAACGTGGCTTGGAATCTTGGACGATGGGCGCATCCCATTCATCTCCCTCCGCCAATGGGAGAGGGGCCTGGTTAAAAAAAGAGGGAAAGAAAAAAGCAATGATGCAGGAGTGGAAGGCTGGTCTTTTGGGTACCGTACTCGTACCGTACTGTACTCGTACCGTATGGCTTTTTGATCCATAAAAGACTCAATCGAGGTAAGCTGATGCAGTGATGCTTGCTTTTTTAAGCGAGGTTCATTATTTGTACTGTACTACCGGTAGTACTCGTACGGTACTCGAGCAACACTGTTCAACCGGGCTTAATTATTTTGATCCCCTTTTCCTTTTCCTTTCTTCTTTTTTTCGGTGGAATTCGCAATTTACCAGTACAGTACTACTTGAGTAGCACAGAATCATTGCATGCTGTCCCATCGGCGCAAAACTGGGCCCACCGATACAGCTCAACGACTTTCAAGGTAGTCTAAGTGGGATGTGACTTGCTCGACCGAAGTAGTGGGTTATGGCTATTTCCACAAAATTACAGTCGCACCTCGCTGTAACGAATGCCAAGAATTCAGGTTTTTCGTTCGCTATAGCGAGGTTTTGAACGGAATCCCTTATAACGGGAGCTGTTTGTATGGGAGCAGGGGGGTAGATCCACAGAGCATCCGTTCGTAATAGCGAGGCTTCCCTTATAACGAGATCCATTATAGCGAGGTGAGACTGTAGGTACCTTTTGTGGCATTGAATGCTGGTATACCATAGTAGGATCACTTACTTTCCCCCATTCCGAGCACTTAAAAAAAACCCCCCCAGTACGGTACTCGTGTCACTGGATTGGAGTATCTTTTTTCTTTTTGGTGGTGGTGGTGACGCACCAAAAGAGTCGTGACTCCAATCCGCTGCCATGAGCAGTCCCTTGACTTCGCGGTATCGAAATGAGCTAATAATAACGTGGAGAATGGCAAAGTGAAGAGTGAATAATATGTAAAAAGTGCAACGAGCTGTTCCAAGAGTTTCTCTTATTCCCGCCGTTTTGCTCAATGGTTTGCTCAATGGTTGAGGATGATGTTATAATCACTCCACAGAGTTAAAGATATTAATATTATGATGCCCGATCAGAGGAACCTTCGTACGATGCCGGTATGCACCGTACGGGCACTGCACTGAAAACAAAAAAAATAGTGTTTTCAAGGGCGGATTTGTCTTAGCCCGTGCGAGCTGCGAGGTCCGGGTTCGTACTGAGGGTGTGTGATAGTGCTCGTGCCGTACTCGAGTACCGGTATTCTATACTTTTTCTCGAATCCGAGGTCTGGCTTAACCGGTAAAGCGGTTTATCATGTGTAAGTAGCTTCGGTCGCACCACAATATGCACCCTCTGAGATGACTGGTGGGTGGATTGGGCGCACTACCGGTAGGGTACTCGAGTACCGATCCATACTGGTAAAGGGAGCTTGAAAGTTTTGTTTGCATGGACTATTTGTGCGAGTGCTTTTCTGTGCATCTATATGGTACTGCATTAGGTACCGTACCTGAGTACAGTTCGATACCAGTACCGGTACTAGCTACAGGCAAGAAGTACCCGAACATTTCGTAGGAAAACAGGGATAATTCAGGGATTATTCGGAGACCGAGCAGGGATAGAGCAGGGGGGTTTTGTATGGGTCACAGTCTGAGCACATCCGTGCGCTCATACAAAATTCAAAAAAGTCCAAATGTTCGGGTACTTGTTGCCTGTAACAAGTACCGGTACCGGTACTCGTGCAGTGCTCGGTTTCAATGGCTTTTTTTGCAACTTTGTTGGGGTCAATGCGGTCGGTGGATCGTACTGTACTAGTACTTGTGAAAGGTAGGGAGTGAGTTTTTTTTTTCTTCTTCTCAGAATGCAAGACCAAAAAAGTTGCGGGCGGTTCCTGAGTGGGTCACATCTGTAACGCCGTATTCCAAACGGGGTTAACGTGTTATCATAAATAGAGAAGGCGTGGAGGTTGTTGGTGCCGCGATATCTGTTTAGTGGTGCCAAGAATTCCGGGCGACTCGTGCTGTGACAAGCTGCGGATACCGTACTCGTACGGGTAGCGGTACTCGAGTAAAGGGGGGGGGGGTCCTTCCACAGGTACAAGTACCGTATATCGAGCAGGCGACGGGCCTGGTTCTTCCCAGAACTTTCATCCCCAAGCGATCTCTCAGCGCGGACTCACATCCCATCGGGACTAGCCCGAGCATGACACGGCACCAAGTATTACTGTAAGAGAGGAGCCTAGCACTTGTTTGTGTCACCTGAAGTTGACCTGGTCACGGCAAACCACTCGAGTACTCGTAGAGCGATGCCGTACGGGCATCGTGAGTTTTCGCTAATACTTGTAACTTCCAAACTGACAAGGATGTTCGCCCTCGTACCTGTACTAGTACCGGTGCTCGAGTGCCGCTAAGCCTGACCCCCTGACCCTGGTCGCAACCAGCGTGCGCGCGTGCGCGGCCGAGTCAAAAAATTTTCGAGCTGAATTCAAGCCTGCGCTACTCTAGTTTTGTTGCGCTGCGGGCATACTCGTACAGTTATACCGGTATGGTCAAAGTGTCCAGCTTCTCCTGAGGAGTCCAGATGCGAGCACGAGTGCCGGTGCAGTACTCGTACGAGTACCGGCAGTACCGGCAGTACCGTCTTACCCGCAGAACGGCTGGTCCGGGGGAGCATCGAGTGACGTACTTGGGTTCCTCTACCAAGGGCCGATGGGTCAGGATGAACTGGGCGATGTTCCTGTGCTTCTCAGAAAGCCACGCAGCACGGGGGGGGAGGGAGTGAGCACAAAATCGTGAATCGTGGTAAACGTGGGGGGAGGGGCTTTGGTGCTTGTGTTCCCTGGGCGCCCGTGACTGTGGCCCCTGGCGAGGTCTTATTATCGGATGCCGAACAGGGTACTTGTACCCTAAGGGGTTTTTTTTTCCTTCTTCCCCTTTTGGTTTCACCAGATTTGTTTCCAGGTTTTGTCCAATAGGGGTGCCTCTGCCCCTGTAGCGAACCCTGATTCGAGGGTAGAAACGCCGTCTGGCGCCTGCACGCAAGGATCAGGGTGTTCGGATCGCTGCAGCTACGCTGGAAACGGGGAGCACAGGGCTGTCGAGTGCAGTTTTGGTACTTGTACCTGAACACGACAGGCAGCCCCACCTATTGTTACCACTTTGAGTAGCAGGCCCCCAGGAAACATTACAATAGCATTCGGTGCTATCCACTTCGTTGCTTGTATATATGCTGGCTGTTGGAGACTTGGAGACGCCACAGGAATAATAGCCAAAGGGAGGGGGATAGGATGGAAAGAGTTGGGACAGGTGAAAGGGGGGTGCGCGTATCATAGCTCGCTAGCTTCTGCCCTCTCGCATTTTTTGTTCTGCAGAGTTTACTTGTACGGTATAGGGAGGCGGGATTGTCAAACGAAGCCCAATGGATGACGGTCGCAACTGTTGCCTGTGCTCGGGTACGTGTGCTGGTACAGGTAACCCATCAAGAGCATGTGGGTGCGTTGCAGATTACCTTTCGACGGATGAACAAAGAAGTTGGTGTTGAATGTCACGCCAGAGCCTCCCAGGGGCCTCTTGGGCTAACCAAGGCTGCCGGTAAGCCAAATATAATGGACCCTTTGTATAGCACTTGTGCTTGTATCATACCCTATGTGACCGTCGACCGTTTTTGGCGCGACAACTCAGTCCTCGAGTGCATTTTGGGTGCCTTGATCCTCCACTTGTATGATGCAGAGAAGGGGGAGGTGGCTCCCTCCCCACTTCCGTGTTTTGTCCAATACCAGCTCTTGTTTCGTATGGATAGCCTTTTCCTTCCGCTTCTCCAATACAGGAGGAGTGAACCATACATCGCACTAAAAAGAAAAGAAAAGAAAAGAAAAACCTATCTTTCTCCCCTGGCATTCATTGTGCTCTGCAATACGGTACTTGACTCCCCCCCCCCCCTCCCCTCCCTCTTCCACGGGTGTTCGACCCTCTTGCTTTCCTGCTTCTTCTCCTCCCAAAACCCTACAAACCCTCGCCGATTAAACAGCCTGTCCATCCGCCAGATTCCGCTGGATGCAAGACATGCACCAATAGCAGTGACAATCAACACTTTCTCTTTTGGGTGTCTTCCCGCTGCCGTTCGCTATCCCAAGTCCTATTGATACCACCATCGACACTCGTTTTGAAGTGTGTCGTTCTTTTTTGAGAATACTTTCAAGACGCCCGGCTGCTCGCATGCCCAGACAAACCTGGAGCCAACTGAAATAGTCCCCTCTGCTGCCGGGACTACAAAAGTCTTTCTTTGCCTCGAGTACCCGTGTCCTTATTCTTCTTGAACAACCCATACTATCTATCTCTTCCATTCTATTCCTTCGTTTTTCTCTGTTTTCCTTTCCTTTCCTTTCTCTCCTTTTTACGGTCGTATCGAACGTACTCGTTGGGAGTCGATCCTCTCGCCACCACCCCCCTCTACAAGGTAACATTACTCCAAACTTCATAGACCTCTACGTTTTTTCCTACCGGCTCCTTTTCTTTCTTTTCTATCTTGAGGGGTTGATACTATCGGCTCGCAATGGGCTGGTTCGGCGATTTGGAACTTGGTGCAAAGTATGGGTGAGTTGTCTGATCATCCTTCTCCTATACGGGTAGTTCCTTTTATTTGAGTGCTGACATGACTCTCCTCTAGTATCATCTTGGGCTCTTTGGTGGTCCTGGTATTCGCTGCCGGGTTCTTGAAGTTATTTCACATTCGGTATCAGTAAGTTGATTCATCTTTCCGGCTAGCGGTTAATAGATTTGATGACTGACTTTTATACAGGGCTAGAAAGTTCAACAGGGTAGATGGGACCCGATATAATGTTCCGCCATGGATCCTTGACTAACATTTGTGACAGGAAGCTAAAGCTAAGGCCGCTAACGAGGAGGGGAAAACGGAACATATTGCCCTTAATCAGAGGGAGGAAGATGAAGGGGATCTGTTTGGCATCAGGGCATTGGAAAGGGGGTTCACGGGAGGGGTTGCACAATCGAGGCCCACATCACCAAATACTGCGGCCAACAGATCTACCAGCACTTTGGTACCCTCAACCGTCAATATACCTTTCGGACAAAAGTCGGCCGGTTCTCTCGCCGGTTCTTCGAGATCGGAGACGAATTCGACCTTGACAATTGAGGTTGGAAATCCTAAGGGCGTTACCATCTCAAATGGGCGGACCAGCCCGAGGCCTGGAGAAATAGCCGTCGACATGAACTTGAACGTTCCGGAATCACCTCGAATGCCTCGATCCCCCGACTCGAGCAGGGCCCCGTCAATAAGCTCGGCACAGTCGTCGCCTACATTGAGACCGGTGGCGGGTGTCGCAATTCCCTCGAGTGGACTCGGGATGCAGTTTGGACAGGATGGTACGGTTTCCCCCAGAATACAAGCGAAAGCTCCGACAAAAGTCGTGACGGGATCTTCCCGGGGCATGATTGCCCAACCGCACTCGGCTTCCCTAGTGGATAGAACGCCTTCGCTGTCTCCGTCAAGTTCGAGTTGCAGCACTGCATCGAAAGAGGGAAAATCGACTAACTATGGAAATCGTTCAGATGCACCATACGCTTCCCAGCGACCATATCAAGGGCATAACCCTTCGATACGGGTGGACGGTCCTGATCATCCTTGTGAGCCCTTCCCTATATGTTCCTGCAAATCGGCCTGGTGTGTACAAGCTAACGTTACACAGCTTCACGGCAACGATAAGGGCGGATGGAAGCGGTGGTGAAATACTGCATGTGTAATGTGGCAATGGGTGTGGTGGAAGGCATGGTGAATATCCATGTTCCTGGCTTCTAATTCTTAATCGTTTTCTATTTTTTTCCTTTCTTTTTCCCCTTCGATCCCGAGTCTACCACCTGTCGAACGCAACGACCACTAGCGAAGCACGGGCTTTGCAAGGAGCGGAACTTCATCCTTGAAAATTTCCGCCTCTGCTATTGGGGCGATGCAACGGATACGAGCGGAACTTGCAATCACATGGAAAGAGGAAACAGGAGGGATTTTTGGATTTCTTAGATGCGGACCACAACGCGCAAGCTGATTTGCTGCCTAATAATAACACTGCCAAATGATGCCCGAAAATCATCGCCCGCCTGACCTTGAGCTTCGATACTCGGAGTTTTGCATAGATGCTGGGTACACCATCTTGTTGTATAGTTTTTCTTTTTCTTTTTTCTTTTCCCCCTCGTTTCTTTCACTGTTGGTCCTACCGTATTGTGTTAAAGTAATGTTTTCTTGTTTGCTGGTGTCTTGCGTGGGGGTTCCTGAAGAATTGGTGGTCCGGGGTCAATCCCCGCCCCGCATTTTTCCTTGTTTCTAGAGAGTATGTTTTGCGAAAAGCGTAGGCGGTTCTTGTTTTGATGTCCTGTATACCCTCACCATCTCTCTCTTTCCTTTTTTTTTTTTTTTTATCAAAAGGAATTTACGTTCTGTTTACTGTGTTACCTCTCTTTTTATATTTGTTTTCCTTCATCTTTCTTTCCCCTGCATACTTCACACGTAGAGCCTGCACCTTGTTTTACCGTCCTCCAAGAAGGTGGAGGAGGAACACATTTGGTGGTGTCGCATTATTAATGGGGCGGGATTTGCTTGAAGGATATGAATGACAGACTTAGCTGGCAACGAACGCAAGTTTCACCTTCGAGTCTTTTCTCTGTCGATGGGTATCATTTGTGCATTCTCGGGTCAGGTATCGGATTCAAACCATAGGCTTGTATTGGTGTGTTTAAAGCATAGGAGTGGGGTGGGAATTTGCGGAGAATTATGTAGCGGTCTACTACAGTTGTGCAGTTGTGCAGTAGCGCACGTATCGGAGCTGGGAACAGCGGCCATGTAAAGAAGGGTCTTTGAATTTCTACCCATGATACTGCATCGTGCTGGGAAGACTGGCTCGTGTCGCAATTCGTCTGGTGTTCTTGCATTGGCGAATGGCCTTTTGGGTGCGGGTACGGCATCAGTCGAGCTTTGGGGCCCGGTCGCTTGTGCCCAGCAATTGAGCACGAATGGTGAGAATTCATGGGAAGGAGCATGCGGTGCTAGTCACGTGAGGTAAACACCAGCCATTGCCTGGACAACAAGGGTGGTGAGCATCCCTTGGGGGTAATCGGAATACCGGTACCGATACAGTACTCGAGTGCTAGGAGAATGAAATTCGATGTGAATTGAGCCTGTGCAGTATCATATGGTAATTGTCCAATCGGTGCGCCCGTACTGCACTGTACGAGTAGTAGTACTCGTATCATGCGCTGCGGCGCCGAGGAAAGGGGGTCTCCGAAAAATCATCTGTTGTGGTCCGATTGTCGGGCTTGATCTCCCGAGGACTCGACCGTTTTTTTCTTCTCTTCCTCTCCTGCCGGCTGTCTCCCGCTAACCTGAAAAGTCCTCCTTCCCCTCGCCTGAATTCCGACTGGGGCACACCGGATGGTCTCACCCCTGGATTGGACAAGAATTTACAACCACCACGGACGGAACCTACGCCTCTGCCCTCTGCCCTCGACATTCGTTCTTTAGCTTCGTGAGCTTCCACCAACCGTGTATCTCCGGAACAATCGTCCGGCCTTTCGTTTTTCCCCACTCACCCCTTTTTCCGATACCACACTTTTGATCGCTTTAAACATGAAGGATACATCTACAAAACCGTGGAGGGGGGATAATAGTTATGACGTTGCAATTGTTGGGGCTGGAATCATCGGTTGCTCTCTCGCATTCACCCTCGGGAACCAGGGAAGGAGGGTGTTATTGCTTGAGAGGGACCTTTCGGAGCCTGACAGGATCGTTGGAGAGCTCTTGCAGCCTGGTGGTGTTCAGGCACTTGGGACACTAGGATTAAGGGGTGCGTGAGAGTCTCATCGTCACCACTCGAGCACTGTGTATTTGTATGGCATGCTGATTGATTTATCTTGGCTTCCTTCCGGATTAGATTGTTTGGAGGGTATCGATGCAATTCCAGTCTATGGGTACCAGGTCATTTATCATGGGGAGGGGGTTGCCATACCCTACCCCCGAGGCCCTGATGGGAAGGCACCGGAAGGTCGGTCGTTTCATCATGGAAAGTTCATCATGAAGCTGCGTGAGGCGGCTAGAAATGCGCCCAAGTGTGTCACGGCCTGATTTGTGAGTGGTTTGGGGGGGCTCTGCGCTAATCCGTGGCGTGAATCGGCAGTGTCACGGTCCTGGAGACAACTGCTCGGGAGATCATCAAGCACGAAGGCTCGGGCCAGGTACTGGGGGTGGTTTGCAAGAAAAAGGGCTTTGATGAGTTGGACTATGTAGGAGCCTGAATTGCTTTGGGGCGACTTTGGTCTTGAATGGTAGAAAGCTGATCTTGGCTAGTACTTTGCTTCACTTACAGTTTCCGCCGACGGATATGCGTCAAATTTTCGGAAAAGGTGTATCGACAAGAAGCCTCAAGTTCGATCTCACTTCTTTGCCCTTGAATTGAAAGATGCAAAGCTACCTTCCCCCGGATATGGCCATGTTGTGCTGGGAGACAATCCCCCAGTCCTCCTCTATCAAATAGGCACCCATGATACTCGAGCTTTGATAGATGTGCCGCAAGCTCCTTCGGCCGCTTCGGGTGGCATTAGGGGGCACCTTGCGAATGTCGTACTTCCCGACCTGCCGGAATGTATTCAACCTTCATTTAAAGAGGCTCTCAAGGCGGACCGGTTTCCTTCTATGCCTAATTCGTTCCTTCCACCTTCCACTAATACTACACCCGGAATGATGCTGCTTGGTGACGCCATGAACATGAGGCATCCGCTAACCGGTGGAGGAATGACCGTTGCGTTTAATGATGTGGTCTTGATCAGCGATCTTCTGAGCCCAGAGAGCGTACCCGATCTTGCTGACACTGACTCGGTCCTCGTGCAATTATCAAGATTTCACTGGGAGAGGAAATCGTTGACTTCCGTCATCAACATCTTGGCCCAAGCATTGTATACTCTATTCGCTGCTAATGGTAACCCTGCCGCAATGTTCTGCTTAATATTGTTACTCATGGTGTTTGTCACAGACAACAAGTTGCGGGTACTGCAAAAGGGTTGCTTCAGGTATTTTCAACGGGGAGGACAGTGCATTGATGGACCTGTCGGCCTATTGGCTGGGTAGGTCTTTGTTTGTCCTGCTTCCTTCCTTAGCGTTCACTGACTGCGTCATAGCATCATCCACCAACCAATGGTATTGTTCTTCCACTTCTTTGCCGTTGCCTTCTATTCCATCTACATCCTGTTTGCGTCGCTCTCACCTGCCAGTTGGCCTGTCGCTTTCTTTAGTTCTTTTGGGGTCTTTTATAAGGCTTGCGTCGTCATATTCCCGTATATCTTTTCTGAAGCCAAGTCCTGATTCTCGGTATTTGGGTCTCTTTTTTTTTTTTGAGATTTCTTGTAATATAGCCTTGCATCCCGGGCTCGTTTTTTAAATTTTTTTTAAATTTTTTTTTAAAAATTATTCTGATGTTTGGATGGAGACAGATGGTGTTTGGAGTGTGGCTCAAGATGGCCAGCGTAATTAATACTGATGTTGGTGCAATGTAGATGACATGATGCAAATAAAGGGTTTCTTTGTACAGCATATACCGTGTGGGTAACCTCCAGTGCAGTATGCCTTTTTCTGGTCCTGCAGGACGTGTGGTTGTGTTTCTTTGTTGGTCTTTGGGATGTTTTAAACCGCAGTGTCGAAAAGGCTGAACACTGTAGTCTAAGTATGGAGAGATATGATATATAACTTCAAACCGTAGTGAGATTCCGTGGCGTTGTGTGTCCCACTGTTTGATAAATCCGGGTGATGTGGTGCATATCGGTGGGGGCAGGCCGGCCGCGTGCAGTCGCCAAGACCTTTAAACTTCAAATCTTTGACGGTGGGACCCCAAGTATTCGGATATCAATTGACACACATCAACCCCATCTCATCTCCCCTCACTCACCACCGCAGCGATGGCTGCCACAGGCACTTTCTTGCAGCGCTGTCACCGGACACTAACCGAGACCTACCGACTCACGCCTCAATTGACATCTCATCTACCCAGGAAACCATTCCACCCCCACCGCCCTCGCCCCTTAACCACCGCCCCCGCCAGCACGACCCTAATGACCAGCTTCTCCCAACCCCTCCCAGAGGTCGCGCCGCGTACCCGACTGACCCCGCTCTCGCCATCCTACTACACAGGCAGCCCAGAGTACTATGACAATCTCCTAGCACTGCAAGACCTACTGCGCAGCCACGAAGCCCTGCCAACGATCCACGGGGACGAAGCGCCGGAGGTGCAATGGAAGACGATGGACGAGTACCGTCTCATAATCGGCGACAGGGTGAAGCCGTCACGCTACAACAAGGTGATCCGCATCCTCGACCGCTTAAACCGCATCGACCCAGCCATCATGCCAGCCGAGACGAAGGCCGCCCTGGCCCTATACACGCGACCTGAGAACCCGGAGCTGAAGAGGAGAGTGGAGCGCACGGTGGACAATTTCGGAAGAGCCTACGCTATCGGTCGGAGGAAGACCGCTATCGCTAGGGTCTTCCTTGTGGAGGGGGAGGGGCAGGCACTCGTCAATGGCTTGCCCATAATCAAAAAGTTCTCGCGCATGCATGATCGGGAGAGTGTGCTTTGGCCGTTGATCGTTACGAATCGGGTGGACAAGTATAATGTTTTTGCGGTGGTTAAGGGTGGGGGTAAGACTGGACAGGCCGAGGCCTGCACTTTGGCGATTGCCAGGGCGCTGAGGATACATGAGCCTGCCTTGAAACATGCGCTTAGGGAGGGTGAGGGCTATTATTCGCTTATTTATTTTGGAGAGTTGCTGACTTTTCTTTCTTTCTTTCTTTCTCATCGGGGAATAGCTGGGTGCGTTACTGTCGATCACAGACAGGTCGAGAGGAAGAAGCCGGGTCACCTAAAGGCAAGGAAAATGCCTACCTGGGTCAAGCGTTAACTTTTTTGGTGGGAGTTTTCCATTCGTACAATTGTTTCATACACCGGCGGTAGTGTGGACAGTTGGCTTTCCCATGCACAGTATAAAGTAATCATCCGGCGTCTCCATCACTCTGCCTCATCTTGCATCTTGTCTGTTCCCGCGTTCCCGTCCGTCCCATAATGCTGTGTACCATCTAAACTATATGTGCCAAAACTCCGAGATTTCCGGGAAATCATAATGTCGCATGTAAAAATCAAGGAAAGAAAAATTGAAAAGAAAAAGACAAGAGAAAAAGAAAAGAAAAGGAAAAGGAAAGAAAAAGAAAAAGAAAGAGAGCCCCATTTATATGATACCATGAAAGCGCCCATACTTATACTACAGACCCACACCCCCGAGCCAAAGTTCCAGGAAGAAAGCAAGTGAGTGAGTGAGAGGGGAAATTCCGACTAAACAGTGATACCCCCCCTTTCGAACAGCTTTGCAAACGCCGCCCTCTCCTCCTTGATCCTAGCCATCCTCTCCTCATTCATTCTCCAAGCTTTGGGAAACCGCGCCTTGGGCCTCTTCAACTTGGCCGTGTAATGCCTGAAATCAAACGGAATATCACCAAAGTCATCACTCTCATCCTATATCCCCCCCCCCAAAAAAAAACCATCATTAGCCCCCCTATCCCAAAAGGGAGAAAAAGAAAGAAAGAAAGAAAGGACAACTTTAGCCTCCAAAATCAACCTATCCACCAAATCGCTCAGATACCGCTTATTCTGCGCCTGCAGTTCAAACATCTCGCAAGAAATCTTGACGATCCCACTCCCAGGATCAAACCTGGCCCCAACCAACTTGATCAGCTTCCCCCTCTGCGCCCCGGTCAGGTCCGCCAGATCCCTGGGTGCGAACTCCACAACCACCTTCTTCTCGGCGGGATGGGTCTCGCCGAGGTATGTGGTGTACCGGAAGCGCAGCACCTCCGAGCGCGACGGGGGGCGGAATGGCTTCGAGAGCTTCGACAGGAGCGGCATCTCGTACATTGCCAGGCGGGCGTAGGATCGCGCTTCGCGGTGGCGGAGGAGCTCCGAGTGTCCGCTGGAGGTGAAGTCGTCGCCTTCCCAGTCTTTCTCCTCGATGTCGTTCGGATCGCTGTCTGCCGGCTCCGGAGGCGGGGTTTTGGATATGAGGATTTGGTGGTCGTATGATCGTGTGGGGGTTGAAGTTAGGGGTCTTGTGCCTGGGGGGGTGGGTATTGCTCGTCGGGCGAGTAGGCGGGGGAGGAGGATCGTGCGTGAGAAGGGCGACGCCATTGTGGTTTTTCGTGGTGGGGTGGTGGGGAGTGATTGCAATTGCGGATTAAAAAAATTTTCCCTTAGGAATGCCGTCGGTGAGGTGGGTTTTGGATATGTGCCAAGAAACCAGTATTTACATCGGATATCACTCGGTTGGGGTTGTGGGCCGTGGGGGTTTTGTGCAAGCAAGACAATCTCAAAAAGAAGAAGAGGGGAAAACATCCAGTTTCTAAGTATGTCTGACGGCTCATCCTCCCCCTCGCTGATTACGGGAGCTTACTCAGGGATTCAGCGGTTCAGAATGGATTTGCATTTCGGCGAGAACTTGGGTGAGGTTTGGCGGACCACGATATTTGGCCGAGAACTGTCAACCAATCCATAGGGGTATCGGTGACCTAACCGTCCCAAACCCCCCTCGTGGGAGGCATTTTTTCAGCGTCTAGAGATCTTCTTGTGTACGAGTAGACTTCGAAAAGATCCAGTAGGGGGAGGGGTGGACGGGACACCCAGAAACCACAGGAGATAACCCAGATATCAGGCAGTGTCCAACTAAAAGAGACCAGACACAGAGCGGCAGAGAGTGTTACGGAGCCAAACTGTTTTATATCGAGCGCAGGGAAGTAAAAGGCTCTAGCTATGCCTGCGTGTATCTATGGAAGAAGTGAAAGGTATTTTATTACAAGGTTTTATTCAAAGACATGCGCCACTATTTACCACTGATCAATGAATGGACTGAACGGGAGTGAAGGAATAGGAATAGAATCATGCACGGAAAACCTTGATCTGTTTCGTGGTTTGGTCAGCATCAATATGGGAGAAGGTTGAAGGAGTGCAAGATATACCCTGGACGAAACAGCCACCCTGCAGACAGGGCAGTGAGTCGGTGGCCCAAAGTGTAGCTCGCTACTTGGCCTAATCCCCATTTGATTCGCGCACCACTAGCGAATCGGGTTAGTATACAGGCGACTTGACCTAGAAATGCGAGCATACAGTACAGATAGCCAAGTGGCTACAGGGCAGTAGGAGGGTATCCGCGATCTGTCCGAAGCAAATCTTGCACTCGCAATCAAGCTTCATTGCTTCCATTTCAAGCGGCTCCGGACGGGTTCTGTCATCATCCAATCCCTTTGGTTCGGCGGGTGGAGGATAATCGGGATGTATGCCACCAGGGGGACGCCTGAAGCCCCTCCAGCGGCTGAAGGCACCAACAGAGTTAGCATAGGGATTATGATTCCCCCCCAGAATTTCTCTACTCAACCTTAAAACTCTCTCTGAAACTCTGTCAGAACCCTGAGCCCCGTCGTCGGGGTTGCCGCGCGAGGGAGAGGCTCGATTGTCGGAAAGACGGTGGTGAGGATCTCTGTTTCGGTAGGATTCTAGAGCATTGCGTACAGCAGACGCATCTGAGCGCTGGCGCTGTTGTGTACGGTTGTATGCAGTCAGGGTTCGTAGGGATCTTGACAATGATAGCCTCAGCGATTGCAAGGAGGGTGGGATGAGAGAGTGAGGGAGAGAGAATACTCACAGAGCTGGTGATAAGGAGTCAGAGTCGTCGTCATCATCTAAACCGCTACGTGGCATAGTGTGGTCAGTCGACCTGAGACGATCATGTGCCCGCTCCTCCGGTTCCCCAATCCCGCGAAATTGGTGTTCATAGAGAGCGGCTTCGTGGGGACCTCGAGTATCGCGTGAGTTGCGGGGTCTTCGAAGGCCCTCATTTGTGCTCCTGTGCGCACTGATAGCATGGTTGATGGTAACTTCGCTCCGGGCAGCTGTCTGAGCACCGGTCGGGCTAAAATCGTCAGCACAGGGTAGTCCTTGGTAGGTGTGAAGGAATGAGGATAAAGCAAAAGGCTCATTGAGTACAAACCGAGTAAAAGGTCCCGGGGGGTAATAGGGCATCTCCGCTTCGGATCCTTGAGCGCTGTTGGATAGTGACCAAAGGTTTGACGAGCGGCGTTCACTTGATCCATTGCTGGACGATGGTATGTTGTTCTCCAGGCTTCGTATATCGTCCGAATCATCAGAATCGTCCAGTCCTGAGCCACTGCCTCCTGTTGCAGACTGGTTCAGTGTAAGGTAATTCCTGATTTCGGGCCCATTATTCGGGAAGTTCCCTGGCATCAGTTGCTCTGGATGGCGAGAGCCAGGGGCACGCTCATGGGCGTCATTACCAGCTCCTACATTTAGTAAGTCGTCGGATGATTCTCTGGGGAACAAGTTGCTACGGAAGCCCGCTAGCGGGCTACTGGAAATGAGGGAGTGCCTGATGAGGAAGCTTTCTCGTATGTGGGCAAGCAGCCCGGGGGACGAGTTATCCGCGGCTGTGTGTCCTAACGCTTGATCAGAGTCCAAGTTCCAATAATCTATTTTCTAGAATATTAGCAGATCTGAGTTTCGGTGATGCAGAATCTTAGTAAACATCTCCACGGTCAGGAAGAGCTTCCCACCTTTACATGGATCGCAGAAAGGGATACTATCAGAACATGAGTTAGCTACAGCTACCAAACGGCCCGGGGATCGGAGTATTGCCACTAACGCCCATATCCTTGAATGAGGAGCGGCTTCGCGAGCGCGTAAAGTGTTAGCAAAAGCTGCGGGATCTATACAAGCGCAGCACCTTTCACCCATTAGGCTGCATCGAGAGAAATTTTTATGAGTGCACACGGGCATCCTGGGGGCGGAAGACATTACGCGGCTCCAGTTGCTGGGGGTGGGTGTCGAGGGGGGGCAAGATGAGAGGGAGTGGAGACGGAGGAGGTGTTATTACTGCAGTGGCTTACAAGGGAGGTGAGAAGGGAGAGGGACCAAACGTGTCCGGACCGGTGGTATCGTATCCCGTAGTATGTAGGTGAGGTTGAAGAGAGGGGGGGGGGGTATTAGGGTGTGTGTGTGTGGAGGGGTTGAGGTGGGGAGATGCGGCGGGTAGGGTGGTGGTGGCGGCGGCGGCCGTGGTGGTGGTGGTGGTGGTTCCTCGGGGAGAGATGGAATGGATGGGGCGGGAGGACGGACAGGTTGGGGAGGGGTTTGTGAGAGGCAAGGTTGGATAGGGTGCGGTACCGGTAGTGGTGAGGGATCTACTCGCTTATCGATAATGTGTGTGTGTGTGCGTGCGTGTGTGTGTGTCTGTCTGTGTGTGGGTTGAGGGAGGGTGCTGGGTGCTCGGTGGAGGGTCAAGCCAATTGCAGCCTTTATGCACGGGAGGGAGGAGTGAGAAGCTCCTAGCCATTCCCGGACCTTGGGAGGCTATCATGAGGGTTCGGCTCCCAGAGGTGCGAGTTGCGCCTGTTCCCCAAATTCACTTACGGTGGTCTTGGCCCTTCTTCAAGCCCTGCTACAATTATCTGATTCCGGACTACTGCATAATATTTTTGCTGTTGCGAGCGTATTCATTGTGTGGTGTTTGCACCGTGCTGGCAGGGAACGGGGGGAGGCTGGCGATGGTGATGGCGATGGTGCTGGTGGTGAGCGTATGTGTGGGTCGGTGGGCACAGCGTTATGGTAACGTACCGTATCGGGATTACGATACCGGCAACCTGTTCCTGTGCTATGTGGCGGGATTCCGTCAGTGTAGTACGGTATATACGAGTATAATACCGTACGATTACATTAACGTATCATACTGGTATCAGATCATGCTCGTTGCTCGTACCGGTACGAGTATGATACCGTACGGTACTGTACGAGTACGAGTACATGGTCGAACTGGGCCGTTAACCAACGCATCGATGGACACCTTAATAGACCACCGGTATTGGTGGGCTAACTCGCTCGGCCTCTCCCTTCGCGCAACACTTACGTCATCATGTCAACAGCTAACCCATTCAACCTCACCCTTCTCTTCCTCGCTCTCGTTATCATCTCCCTGCCGACCTTCACCCCTTACCCCGTCCTCGATGTCGTCCCCTATTCCATGATCAGATTGACCCAAACAAAGCTCTCGTCATCCATCCCTCGTCTGCTCTCTTTCACCGCTTGCCTCGATCCGTGGAAGATGTCATCCTTTACACTCCCTTCATCTACCATTCAAGTCAACCTTACACCCGATCTTACCCGAGAACAGCTTCTCAAATTTCATCCATTCTCCTCTTGGTTGTCTAAGCTACAGCGCTCCCTTTCATTGCAGTCATCCTCACCTGGTCATCCTTTCCATCGGGAGGAATATTCACTCAAATCCATCACCGTCCAATCCGTCGACTTCTTTGGCTCCGGAGACAGGAAGCGTATCGGTTTCATCAAGCTATTGACTTCTGTTGAGAATCCCAGAGGGGAATCTATTCCCGGATCCGTGTTTCTCAGAGGCGGGAGTGTCGCCATTCTCCTCATCCTCGAGCCGGAGGGAACCGAGAGTGAGCGATGGGCTGTATTAACGGTTCAACCGCGGATTCCCGCGTCTTCGTTGGAAATGGTGGAATTGCCCGCTGGCATGATTGATGATGCTGGAACTTTTGCGGGGGCTGCGGCCGCTGAGATTGAGGAGGAGTGCGGGATCAAGATACCGGAGGACAAACTCATTGACCTTACATCACTTGCCTTGAAGGGTTTTACGAGTGCGGAGGGGGAAAGGCTCGAGGAAGCTGTTTACCCTTCTCCTGGGGGTAGTGACGAATTTATCAAGATTTTTGCACATGTTCATAAGATACCACAAGATACGCTGAAGGACTGGCAAGGAAGGTTGACGGGATTGAGGGATCAAGGCGAGAAGATTACCCTCAAGTTGGTCAAGCTTGAGGATCTCTGGAAGGAGACACGAGATGCCAAGGCTCTGAGCGCAGTTGCGCTATGGGATGGATTGAGGAGAGAGGGTGGAATTTGAGTCTATTGTTGAGCTCCATCATAATTGTGCACTGGTGTTTTTGTACCCCCACGGTGGCAGGTCGGAGGGTTTTTAGGGAGGAGGTTGATATCAATGTCTATCCCTCCCCAGGTAGCTGTATTATAATAGCTTAAAGGAACCTCCACTTCCTTGCAACCTCAAATCCTTCAGCTAGAGATCCAACCCTGGCATCAATTCCATAGCCTTCTTTCTCCAGCCGCCTGCACTCTTTGTAGAGATCCTTCAGAGGTACTGTAAACACCTCAATGAACTCGTTCTCCTCCAGCTGCTGTTTTGGATTCTGGTTGCGTTCATCGGTGAGGTCAATCTTGACATGTACGAAGTGAAGATTTGTATTGCACATTCCTTCTCCCTGGTCAGCAGGTGGGCCAGAATAGCGAGGAGTCGTGAAACACCAACCAGGATCATTAAACATTAAGCAGCTCTTCTCTTCAGCATCCTCAGCCGCCATAACAACCCCGTGATATCCCGTCTCCTCAAACAGTTCACGGGCGGCGCATTCTTCCGGTGACTCGGCAGCGTCGACCAAGCCAGCGGGAATCTCAATGCAAGTCTATCAATTCAAATGGTACTCAGCCCAAGACATCCAAATACCAAACTTACAATAATGCTGTAAAGCTCCCACCTTTCCGATGGGGGGCCTGTACTGCTTTTGCAATAGCAATTCCGGTGGAGCTCCAGGCTTCTCCAGAATTGCAATTATTCCCACGCCATCAAAGTCGACGCCTGCCGGACGAGTGCAACGTTCGCTGGATTCCCAGGTCCTCTCGACGCCGTTGGGATCGAGGTAGGTGGTTCTGTTGAGCAGTGAGTAGTGTTATATCGCAGCTTAAATTAAAGGTTGAGGAGGCGGGGGGGGGGGGGATCTGGAATAGCCCTACTTGACGAGTCTGACCCACTTTGCATCGCGGATCGTGAGCGGTTCTCGAGAGATTATTTCCGACATTATGCTTGCAAATTTGTATGTTTTCTGGAGAGTGTGGATCAAGGAGTTAATAACAGAGCCGTGGGACGAGAGGCTGAGGTGTGGAATTATGTCTGGCCTCTGGTAGGGAGGGGAACATTGCGGCTCAACCCAAACCCGGTCCTGTGAAATAGCGGTGCCAAAAAGCTGCGGCAGGGATTTGCGAACCTAGCGAGCTTGGCATTTTGCTTTTCCTATGCGGGTACGGTACATTTATTTATTAACGCGTCTCCCCGACTTCCTTTCTTCTCTTCCTTCCCCAAACACAGGTGAGTCAACGAATCCTATCGCCATACCGGTATCTTTGTACAATGCTAACCCAGACAGGGCCCAGGATTCTCGGTGATGATAAAAAGAGAGCGCACTACTCTGAGGAGTTTAGGGGGTAGCTGGTGGGCTCCCCCCCTTTTAAGAGGGGGGGCCTGCTGGTTGTTTCCTGATCAAAAATCCACGACATGGGTGAAGCGAACAGAGATCGTAGAGTTTCCTGGCGTTCGGTCGGATATGGCTTTGGCTATTCTATTGTGGTCCTTTCGGTCCGTTTTTCTTTTTTCCCGTCCTCTGCTCTACCTGTCCTGCGGCGACCTTCTTGGTTTGAGTGGGATTGAGGTTGAGTAGGCTGGGGTGGGGCTTTGAAGGTAGGGTATGTGGGTGCGGTGATGAATGAATGCTTGCACAGCGCTTCGGAGATTAACGGTACTTACTCTCTTTTTCCCGACTCTCGCTCGACATTCTCCTTAGAGATGGGGGGGCTTCGGCGGATGATTCTTCGGGGATGGGGAAAGGGGTCTGTGCTAGATCGATGATGGGGTTAATGTAGTTTTCAATCTGAGCAGACGGTGAGTGTGCCTCTTCACGTGACGAGTTTACCTTGCGGTCCACTAATCTTAACCTACAGGCTTGAATGCTCTACCGGAGATCCCTCGTCTGATTGCTTGCCGGAGGGTGGGGAAATTGGGGCTGGATTTACTGCGCGGAATAGCCGGGTTGTATCGCCTAATGATGACAAACATGTTCAAAAGCCAAATATGACTTTCATCAACCTGTTCTGCTGCGCTCGATCTGTTCCGCGGATCTTGGGCGGCGGGACAAAGGTTGACGATGATCAAAAATATAAGGAGAGCTCTAATTCATGTCTGAAGGCACTCTCATCCCCTCTGTTATCTTGTGCTGTTTTATTTCTCTTGTTGTGCTATAGCTGAATTGGGATGTTAGAGTAAGTTAACTTGTGAGTAGCTAGCGTTGGAGGGGCACTTGGTATTAAGCAGATGGGTTGTGGTTTTCGGCCGAAGGTCTCTGGGACTCGAGATAGAGCATGTACGGGTAAGCTAAGTATGCTGAGGAGGAATCATTTCGAGATCGGCGAGTAGGAAGTTGACGTTGGTGTCTCACGAATATACAGTAAAGTCAGCCTACCCTACTTCTCACTAGTCAAAGAATAAGTATTCGTACAGTATCTGATGAACCCGTCCCGTTCATTTACAAATAGTCCGTTCTCCGGTGGCATGTGGTGCTCTGGAATGTGTGGTAGGTTTTTACGCTAACGTTGCCGACCGGGTGATTGAACACTCCTGTGATATTGAATACCTTATGTAAACCTTGCCAAGCTGAATCCTATCTCCTGCATCCAACTGCAGGATGGTAAGACCTGGCAGATCAAAGAGTCAGAGGATTGAGGAGAGGGAGAAGAGACTTTTAGCAGTACTGAAAGAGTTCCAACAGACCAAGTGGCTGAACTGGTCAGAAATTGCATGAGAATATGGTATACTAGTATTACAAACAATACTTCATATCTAATATCTTTACTATATACAGTGCCTCGTCAGAAGTGTTCGTGATCTGAGACATGTTTAATTGCGGTTGCGCCATGGGACCGGTGGGGTTGTCAACGGGGCATGCCCGCACTGTGAGCACGATCAATCCTCAACGATCAACCCTCAACGATCAATAGTTAATTATCAATGAACTACTATTTATATTTTAGAGGAACAAAATAATAAATAAAACTAGCTAATACTTTGTATAACCACCCCTTGCTTCCAATACTGCAGCTACTCTATCAGGCATTGATTTCCACAACTTTTCAAAAAACTCCTCAGGAATTGTCTCCCAAACCAAAGGTAACACTTGTGCAAGTCTCTTCTTAACAGCTTCTTTTCCTCCTGGGGTATCTCCAATCCTTGGATACTGCTGGTGCAATCGCTTTTTAAGCTCAACCCATACATGCTCAATAGGATTTAAATCAGGGGAGTATGGGGGATGGTCCACCAATTCAATACAATTCCTCTCAAACCAAGCCATAACACTATAAGCCTTGTGAACAGGAGCATTGTCTTGCTGAAAAAAAATATCTTCAAGTTGCATACCAAAGGAAATCATCTGATGAATAACAGGAAAAAGATGTCTTCTCAAGAGTCTAACATACCTGGTCTTATTGACATTTTGGGTGATAGAAACCAAGGGACCTTTTCTCTTCCCCCAAAAGCACCCCCATACTATTAGTAAAATTCCCTTATCCTTTTCCTTTGGATGAATACAATCTGCTAGCCACTGCTCCCCAGGTTCTCTGAAAACCCACTGCTGCCTAGGATCCTTGGATTTCTCCACACTGCACTCATCACTCCAAATAACTCTCTCAAAATCCTCAGCAGTCCAATCCTTATGAGTCTTAGCCCAGTCTAATCTTTTAGCAATATGCACAGGCTTGAGCTTTGGTCTTGCTTTGGCTAGCCATTTCTTGATATTGGCTTCTCTGAGTATTCTATCAACTATAAATTTATTAGAAAATCATATCCTATCACTCAAATGAGTACAAGGAAGTGGGTGTTACCAGTAGAGAGAGAAATACCTGGCGCATGATGATTCCTGAAATCTGATCTGGTCATTTTCCGGTTGGATTTGGCTGCCCGGATGATTGTGCGACGCTGTCGCTGGCTAAGAGTTGGTGTGCGACCGGGGCGAGGGAGATTATCCAGTGATTGGCGCTCACATGCACAAGTGAGGAAGCTTTTAATAATTGTCCATGGCTGGCCAATAATTTGAGCAACAAGAGCAATATTCTGGAGGCAGTAGAAAAATCCAATGATCATACCTTTTTCAACATTGGTCATTTCTGTTCTGGAGGTCTTTGGAGTTCACTTTTTTTTTTTTGATGTATATCCGGTTCGGTTAACCATTGAAAATAATGCAGGACTCGGATATGATTATTAAAATAGACTTGGAGGAAGTAGTACTATCGTGATATAGGGCAGGTATGGTCACAGTAGGTACGGTCGCGATCAACAGCGAGGTGGCATTTGACGAGGTAGTATTTGGCGAGGTTGCTTAGTAAGACATGTTTCACGAACACTTCTGACGAGGCACTGTAGAAGGATAGCAAGAGGTCCATCTCTCATAGCAAAAGGTTTCTAAAGAGAAGAAAGAAGAAATAGTTTAATAGATAAAACAAATAGATTGGGCAGACATTCCTCAAAGGTATTAGTATTTAATAGATTTGGTACAATTAATTCTAGAGTATTAAGAAGAGACTAGACCAAGAGCTGTAGTAAAAAAACACTTTATTAATCTTTATCCAAAGAGCTATCCAGAGCTGTAAAAGAAACTATATGGTTGGGTACCTGCTACAAATTTTTCTTTCTTCAATTACTTTTTCAATTTTCTTTTATACGATATTAAAAGCTGCTGTAAAATTCATGGCTAGAGTGTAGGAAATACAGAGGAAAAGAGACTTTTCTTTGAGTATAGAAAGTAAGAAGTATATGATCTATAAGTACTTAAATTATCTTACATACTTCAAGTTAGTTTAAGAGAGAAATTGTGAATAGGTTATCCTTATTAAAGGTATTAGTACAGTCACTAGACAAAAGTCTTGGTGATTGCTTAGTCAGCAATGGCACATGAAAATAAAACACCCTCAAGCGAGTCCTTTCACTTTCCACTACCCTCCCAGCAACCACAATAATTCTTCCTGTAAAGATGGGATGCCACTCCAAGAAAGGTCAGATATTGTGAAAGGCATTTTAATTGGTCTTTTATATATCTTGTAAATTATTTCCACTAATGGCAAGCCTGTAAGATTGCTTTCTGTTAGTCATCCAAGTCCTGTTTCCATAATTCACAGTTATTGACAATTCTATGCCTTCTTACACAACTATTCAAGTATAGATCCATAGGTCTTATATCTTGAGTTTGTTGTCCTAGCTAGGACTTCATGGACAGTATGGGTAACTATATCTGTCAACTTCTCTGGGAATCTCTAAGTGTTGGTACAGTGGATGATAACTGTTATAGTGAATAAAGGGGGGGGTATCTGAAGTGCTAGTAGAATTTATCAGAGTTTATTCTTGATTTATAATTTCTCTCTTTGCTATTAATCCATGAGTTAATTTTTCCTGCTGTTGCCCTATAGTAGCTATTTAGCTCATGCAATACCAGTACCCATTTAGTGCACAGACTTTGTCTCACCTGGAGCAATCACCAAGACTTTTGTCTAGTGACTATACTAAAGATAGGACAATACCTATTAAAGGGTAGGCAACTTTAAGAACAAGTAAGTATGTAAGAGGCTCAATAGTCTTCTTCTTTAAAAATAGTCAGAAAGGCTTATAAAGATAGAAGTTAAAATAGAACTAATATATTTATAAGATTTTTTTTCTAGTTACTAATAATATCTCAAAGCTAAAGAGATATCTTGATATTCATCAGCAAAAATTATTCCTGTGTCAGAGGCATAGGCAGTATATTTTGACACAAGCAGAGGGGATTCTATATCCAGTGTATCCTGTGCATCCAGGACTTGGGTGCCAAGTGTGGTTGTATCCTGTGTGTTAGGTACCTGGATGCCAAGTTTGATTGCATCCTGTATGTCTCAAGTAAGCAATGCTAAGTAGCAGTTACTATCCTGAGATTCTGTCACGGCCACCCGGCTATGGAGATGGAATGTGCATGGGTTTTTCGTTGCATATATTGGTTGTGGTTTTCTTGATTGTATGGTTGGATTTCCTTTGTATGAATGATTGGGATGCGTTGCCGCGCAGCAGAAGATAGCGGAACCTGATGGAGGAATCGCGGCTGCGCGCAACGCCAAGAACTTTCTTTTGTATTAGTGATCATGGAGGATTTCCTTGCTATATAAAGGGGCCCGGGTATGCCCCTTTACATTTTACTTTCTTTACGCAATCTGGTAATCTCCTTCGGACACCCTTTCTTACGTGCCAGGGATATTCCTTTACCTCTTTGAAGCTTTTCGGCTCGGTTATTTATTTTGCATTTT